TATATATATATATATATATATAAATAAACAATCAGATTTAACTTTGCTGATACCAGCAAATAGGATGAAGTAAGGAAGCATGATGGTGTTTGTCTTTTGGTACACAGTTCCTTTTGCAGTTTTTCACATATGGAAGTGATGAGGAAAGAAAAAAAAATCTATTAAATGTGTTGCCAGATCCAAAGAACATTTAGGTAGTCTTAGTGGATTCAGTGAATTCTTTTCAAGTAAACATGCATAGGATTACAGTCTTAATGATAAAAATGTTTCCTGGTTCTAGTAGAAGAATTATCATATATTTTCCAATTTCAATATTGGGTGCTGGTGTGTTTATAAACAGTCTCCTCTGGTTTCGATGTAATCGACTTTTTGTGAATCCATTCAAAGTTCTTTGTAAATAAGTTGTGGGCAGAGAAGTTGTCCTGCTTTTCTCTGTCAACTTTTTTATTCTATTTGATGAAAGAGAATTTAATTTAGACATTCTTTCAAGGGAGGTTAGGAAGTGGAACATTCTCAAGGAGGTGGTGTGATGCTTTTGCACTTATTTAATTATGAGGAGGCCAAGGGGTGCATGTCTGAGATTGCGTGAATATACTCTCTTTCCTTGTACAATTATCTCAAGCAGTTTGCAGCTTCCATGGCTTCCCAGTCTTCAATTAAATTCCAAGGAAAGATATCACAAAGTATCCCAAACCTTCTATAGGTCTTTCTCAGAAAGGATGTTCCTGCAAACCACTAAGGGGGGTGTTAATAAGACTTGTTCATAAAGGTTTTATGCCTGGACTGGAGCAGCTATACAAATGCATTAAAGAAATATACAGACTTCTTCTCCCTGTCATGTTCTCAGTTGCTGAAGCTGGAAATCTGGAGGAAAGCATAGAAAGAGGCAGAAACAAGGCTGAGGATACTGGTGGACAGGCAGAGAAAAAAGTATAATTGCAGCTATCCCATAGAAGAAATTAGGGGAAAATGTACCTATTTGTATTAAACATTTAAGGAGTTAGTCATTGCTCTTACAGAAGACTAACATCAGCCCCAATATTGCTTTTATAGCAATAAGTCTGAAAATCATTTCTATTTGAAATTCTGGTAGTTGCATGAGAAATTAATGTATTAGCTAAATGAAAGTAATAGCTAAATAGCAAAATAAGCAAAATAAGCAAACAGAATCCCTAAAGACAACAATGCTTGGTGACCACGTTGTACTAGTCGTAAATATAATTTTGGCTCAAGTTAAAATTTACTCCATAACACATCCTGAAGCAAGGATAGCAGTACAAAACTCAAGGTAAGGAAAACCTTGCTAGACCTGGCATCTGGCTTATTCCTCTGGAATTAGGAGGTATGAGCTGGTCCACAAATTTAAGTTATAACCTAAAAGTTTGATGGCACCATCCCAAGAGGTAGCATGGCCTAGTTAGCCTTTGCTTATGGGGACGGCTGCTTCAGCATAGTGCTTGGACTTGAACCCAGAGCACTGGGAACTCTGGGTCCAGACCTGTGCTCTGGTCTGCATTAAAAGACATAGCCACCATCTCCAAACTTCCTCATTTGAAGCAAAGCAAAACAAAAACAGGTACAGGAAAATAGAAACCACAGAATTTTCTGGATGTGTAATTAACACAAACGCAAATCTGAGAACTAAAAGCATGACTGGCCACAATCAGAATTTCAGCCGGTATCTCAATTCTTCCACTCAGATTGGTGGGTGCTGCTGTTCTAACCCCTAGCCAAAAATTTTAAAATAACAAAGATCACTGCCTTTCTGGATAAGAAGGAAAGCCCTTATACTTTTTATAAGATTTTCTTCTTCTTTATAACATTTTGATATTAAATTTTGATTTCTCTTTATGTTGATTGATTAGTCTTGAAAGTTATCTGGTCTGTAATACATGATGGTGTGCAACAGAAATATAGTGTTCCATCATATAACTATTGCTGAAAACAAACATACATAATGATGGAACACCTGTGTGTTTCAAATTTCACTGGGGGAAAAGATCTGTCTGTCTGTCTGTCTGTCTGTCTGTCTGTCTATCTATCTATCTATCTATCTATCT